CCCCCTGTGCAGATGAGTTCATACCTGTGCCCCTCCCAGAACGAGTCCTCCATGGGCCTCCAGGTTCTGCACGTGGCAGATGAAAAACGCATGATGAACCAACCCTCTGAACTCTGGGGCAAGAGCGTGGCAGGACGATCTGGATCTTTCTATGAATCTGCGCATCTCCTCTGGAAGCCCTGGTTCCCAGGGTCCCTCTCTGTCTCCGGCAGGAAGCCACATCCCATGTGTGACAAATAAATCATGCTTTCTCAATGGAGTGTGTCCCTCCATTTTTTTTAATTCTTATTTTTTTATTGAAGTATTGTCAATTTACAATGTTAATTTCAGATAAACAGCAAAGCGATTCAGTGATACATACACATACTTTTTTTTTCTGTTTCTTTTCCATTGAAACTTACTACAAGAAATTGAATAGAGCTCCCTGTGCTGCACAGTAGGTCCTTGTTGTTTATCTATTTTATATATGGTAATGTATATCTATTAATCCCAAACTTCTGATCTATCCCTGCCCCTCCTTTTCCCCTCTAGTGACCACAGTTTTTTTCTTTGTCTATGAATTTATGTCTGGTTTATAAATAAAAGTTGTACCTTTTTTTTAGATTCCACATATAAGGGACATCATATGACACTTGTCTTTCTCTGTCTGACTTACTTCACTTAGCATGATCATCCTCACTTTCTGTCACCACATACTTTGAAGTTTCTTCTTGGAGGTGTGAACAAACCACAAGCACAGCAGCCCCCTCACAGAGCCTCCTGGCGGCCCAGCTGGGGTGGGGGCCTTGGTGAGTGGAGGGTCAGGAAGGTGTGTCCCCATGTCCACCCCTCGAGACTCATGCTGTGGGTGGGGGAGGACTTCCCTCCCTCTGAGAGGCGGATGGGAAACAGGCCTGGGTCCCACCTGGTCCCTAAAGGGTGACTACACAGGGAGGGCCAGAAACACCCACACAAACCCATCACACTTACAGTGGGGAGGCTGGATGTCCCAGGAGAAGAGGCAGGAAGTCTGAGAAAGCCTCACCCTCCAAGCCCCAGGCACACAGGGCCTGCC